GCAGTGGAGGTCAGTATTCAAGGGGACTCCTGGAGGTCTTTCTCGGCCTCCTTACCTCCCTGCTGTCTCTTCAAATTCTAACTGTCCAGGCTCCCTGAGCGCGCATCTTGGATTCCCCAGCTTAGACTCCTGGCCTCTCTCAGTTCCCCTGCCCTGTTCTGTCGTTTAGAAAATCTGTTCCGGGGAGGAGGACAGATGATGTTGAATTTCACCCTGCTGGTTTTTCATTCTTGGGGTCACAGTGCTCCCTGTGATGTGATGTCTGACACACGTGTTCCTTGCAGTTCAGATTGCTAAGCTGTTTGCAGCAGAAGGCTCACTCCGCCCTCCTGGTGGGAAGCGGCGGTCCCTTCCTCTCTGCATTGAGTGCTACTGAGTGTGATGGTAGTCTTCGGCCGTCTTCATCCATCTTACTTGCTTTTCGTGTTTATTACATTATATACCTCGGAGTGGACAGTGGAAGGACCTCTAGAGGAACGAGGCCTAGGAGCCGGGGCTGATTCTGGCCCCAGCCTTGCCGCTTGCCAGGTGTCTCAGTTGCATGAAGCCCCAGGGTGTCACTTTCCCGTGACAGAAATGTGAGGGTGGGCGTGTTGAGTCTTCTACCTTTGAAATCCAGCAGGAGAAGATGTGTAATCCTCTTGTTCACAGAGGCCTGAAGGAGTGCTCGCAGCTTCTCTGATAATGACTAGGAAAGATGAGGAAGAATTGGGAGACACTGGGAGAAACAAACTTAGGAAGATCCAGAGAGGGAGTGAGTGTCTTGGCGAAAGTTCGGCTCTCTTAGGGGGGAGCAGCATGATGACAGCGGTGGGTGGGTGCAGGGGAGGCAGTGAGCAGAGCAGGGGGAGAGCCCTCCTTGCAGTCACCGCCCTGCTGGGAATCTGGCAGGGTGCTGGGGGGGGGGGGCAAGCAGGGAAGAGTTGAGCAATGTTAGGAGGGCACTTGGGAGTCTCGAAGCAAGGCCAGGAGCACGGTGATGCTGGTGGCCGGGGAGAGAGGCAGCTGCAGTGCTCCGTGGAGGTGACCCACGTATCTAATGGGGCTGAGCGATGCTCCTGGGAGGTGATCATGCTCAGCGAATGGAGACCCTGTGTATCTTTTTTTTTTTTTTTTTTTTTTTTTTTTTTTGGACAGGCAGAGTTAGACAGTGAGAGAGACAGAGAGAAAGGTCTTCCTTTACCATTGGTTCACCATCTAATGGCCGCTACAGCCAGTGAGCAGAGTTGTTTGTTTGTTTGTTTGACAGGCAGAGTGGACAGTGAGAGAGAGAGAGACAGAGAGAAAGGTCTTCCTTTGCCGTTGGTTCACCCTCCAATGACCGCCGCTGCAGCTGGTGCACCGCGCTGATCCGAAGGCAGGAGCCAGGTGCTTCTCCTGGTCTCCCATGGGGTGCAGGGCCCAAGCACTTGGGCCATCCTCCACTGCACTTCCTGGCCACAGCAGAGAGCTGGCCTGGAAGAGGGGGAACCAGGACAGAATCCGGTGCCCCGACCGGGACTAGAACCTGGTGTGCTGGTGCCGCAAGGCGGAGGATTAGCCTAGTGAGTCGCGGCGCTGGCCGATCCTGTGTATCTTGAGAACAAGAGTAACTGGCATTTTGCAGAAGTACAAAATAAGTCCTCATAATTCCATTGAACACACAACTGTGTTTCCCACTTCCCCTCCACAACGTGGACCAAGGGCTTCTCACCCCTGCTCCTGCGCGAAGACCCCGGCAGCCCACCCTCTGCTCTCACAGCTGCAGTCCCCGCATCTGTCACACCTCCAGGTAGTTGCAACAGTTGGGAAATGCGGACCTGTGCACGCTCGGCACTGCCGCTTAGCGCACGTGGGCTGTCCCTCGCCCCTCCGTCCTCCCCTTCCCACTCTGAGGCTGGCTCAGGGCGGAGGCTGCCGTGGGCTAGGTGGTGGTGGGACGTCTCCATTTCTCGTCCTCTCTGCCTCCTTACAGCGTTGTTTCAACCCCAGAGGGCCGGCAGGGTGGTGTGTAGCACCCCTCTGGACTCCGCCCACCCCTGCAGTTCCCCCGGCCCCCAGAGTCCTGTTGTGCTGGTCGCTGTGCCTCCCTCCTCTGTTCCCGGACGGGAGGAGTGCAGCTCCGAGCTCCTCCAGCCTGCTGCAGGTGGCTGTGCTGGACAGGACCCAAGGCAGCCCCCACGCTGGCTCGCTCTGTCCCAGGGCTCGTCCCTTGCCTGGGACTGACCAGGGTTCCAAGGCAGCTGTGCTCTCCTGGCTCTGCCTCCCGAGCAGTCAGCTCTGCTGTCACCTTCACATCCCCGCCAGCTGGCTTCCGCTTTCTCCAGGTCGAGCTGCTCGCCAGCCTCTGCTGTCCTTTCGCCTTGTTGCTGTCTGTTTGCTGGGAGGTCAAACCTCAGGTCTCCACTCCCTGCACCGCGCTCTGGGTGCTCCTGGTCTAGCTGAGTAGCTTGAGGGGCCCCAGTTTACCTGCAGGACAGTTTGGCACCTTTCTTGGGATTTTACTTCTACCATGTTCTGGTGTCTTTCCAGATCTGATTACACACGTAACCAACAAACATGGCTGACCGGCCGATCCCTGCACCACAGTCCAGTGGTGTAACATCTGGCTCTGCTAAAAACTTTGATTTCTGAATGAGTTTTGTGTTAGAAATTGGGGCGGGGGCAGCAATTCCTCCAAGACTTTTATTTGAGCCTTGACCAGCTGTGTTCCTCAGAACTTGGTAACTAGAGCCGCAGGCTTGCAGAACTCACAGAATAGTTTGGGGTGCAGTACTGTTCCGAGTGCAGGTAGTGGGTGTTTTTTTCAAATGCTGGTAGATTGAAGCCTCAGGGGCATCACAGGGTGTGGACCACCCAGCGAGTGGGGGCCTTGGTCCTCAGGCCAGACAGGAGGGCAGCCCAGTACACACACTCTCCCCCACTTAGACCCATCCAGCTGACCACTCTGGCCGCTGTAATAGCACATTTCAGCGAGGCTTTGAGGCAGGAGAGAAAGGAGCCGTCTCTTTTCTGAGGTCACGGTGTCCTTGCGTGAGTCTACTGCAGACAGGAAAGGGGAAAGAAAGCCACCCAAGGGCCCCCGCGGTCCTGGCCACGGCGCCTGCGCATCACAGGTGCTGCTGTTCCGCTCTGTCTCTGCAGACTGAGAACCAAAAGGACCTTGCGCTGCAGGGTTTTTCCTGGCCTTTGGTTTGTGAAACACAGGGTGGGAAGTGGTTTTAGTTCACTTCTGTGGGCCCGAGCCGGGAGTTGCCGGGCCCCGTGTCTGGTTTGCCTGTGCGGTGACTCCTGCACTGTCGCCTTACTACCTCGTGGGATTGAAGCGTCATGTTCTCTGCTCAGGAGAGCCGCTTGCTCCCCACCCCCTACTCCCCATCTCGCGACTCCTTGAGACCCTGATCTTGGCCGCTCAGGGCAGCCAGGATGCTCTTCCCGTGCTTTTCTTCCCGTAGTTTCTCTTACAAAGGCAGTAGGCATCAGCTGGTGTTGCAGGTGCACACATGAGCAGAAGGTACACGGAGCTGGGGGGCTGGTGTCTGAGCCCGTGGCCGCTGTCCTGCCCCTGCAAGCAAAGCTGTAAGGAAGGTGGGGGGTGGGGACTGGGCAGGACAGAACAGGCTCGCTAGGAAAGACACTTTGTCACGGTGGGCTTCTGGACCCCTCAAATGGCCAACGGGGAAGGGTTTTGAGTGTCCTGCCCTGTGTGTCCTTCTGAGTCCGTTTGGAGCTCTGTGAGAGTGGGAGCCTTATCCGGGGTGGGGGGGGGATTCCGAGAGGGGGAAATGGGTGGCACCCATGCTCTGGAGATAGCTTTGCTGAAGTCACCTTTTATTTACGTAAGAATCTGGCCTTGGTGGCCGGTGCTATGGTGTAATGCGTGAAGCCACCACCACCTGCGATGCCAGCATCCCATACAGGTGCTGGTTCCACTCCCGGCTGCTCCACTTCTGATCCAGCTCCCTGCTAATGCACCTGCGAAGGCAGTGGAGGGGCTTCGGCCCCTGCACCCATGTGGCAGACCTGGAAGAAGCTCCCAGCTCCTGGCTTCCGTCTGGCCCAGCTCTGGCCACTGCGGCCATTGGGGAGTGAACCAGTATATGGAAGATCGATCTCTCTCTCTCTCTCTCTCTCTCTCTCTCTCTCTCTATATATATATATATATATATAAAACTATGCTTTTCAAATAGATAGATAAATCTTAAAAAAAAAAAAAAGAAGGAGGCAGCCAGGATGAATGTATCGAGTCATGAAGTCTCGGGACCTTTGCTGGAAAAGCATCCACTTTTGTCCTCAGAAGACGCTGGCACCCCAGGCCGCTCCTGGGGGGTAACAAGGTCGCAGCTGTATCCTGAGGAGGAAGCTGTGGGCTACAACCCTGGCCCCAGCAGACCCGGGTGTGTTTGCAGAGGGTGCCTGATGTCTGGTTGGCTCAGGCACTCCTGCCCTGGCTCCCCGCTGACGGTCCCCAGTGCGCTGTGGGATGAGGTTGCTCTCTGCCCCTTCTGAGCACATGGAGGGAGCGGCAGGGATCCACACAGTCTGCCCATAAAACTGCAGAGTTGTTTGGTTGCCTTGCCGCGCGCACACATGACTCACCCCAGCAGTGTTCAGAGGAAGACCAGCGGGAAGAGGAGCTGCGTGAGAAGCAGGAGAGCCCTGGCGGAGCTCACACAGGCTGCACCAGCCACCCAGGTCAGGAGAGGCCGCTCCGCAGCCTGGCGAGGCCGGCGTGCTCGCTGTATTTGTTGCTGCTTCGTTGTGACAGGTTTTAAGGTTGATGATGTAGTGAAGTAAATACTACTCTGCGGTTTGAAATTAAAGAGTCCCTTCGTGTTCCGGGTCTCAGGAGAACGCCCAGTGTGGTAGTAACTGGGGCGTGAGTGCCGCAGCTGGGCGAAGTGCCCGGCTCCCTGCACCTACCAGGCTGGGTTACAGCCTTGGCCTCCTCGTGTCGTTTCTGCTCCCACTGATCTGCAGTAAAAATAAATGGATTTTTTCCCCAAATAACTGTGTTTCAGGGCCCTGATAGCCTCGCAGATGGAGCCGACGTTCGCCAGGAGCGTCTTCCCGTGCTTTGACGAGCCGGCTCTGAAGGCCACCTTCAACGTCACCCTTGTTCATCACCCGGCTTACGTGGCCCTCTCCAACATGCCGGTGCTGAGTGAGTAGCGCCTCGGCGCCGTAGCTCCCAGTGGTGACTGCGCCGACCCCGAGGGCAGTCCCACACGGCGTCAGCACCTGCTTTGTTTAGTCCGAGAAGCCAGGAACCCCGCCCGGCTCTGTGCAGTCCCCCTTCTTGAACCCTCTGCAGGTTCACCCTGCCCTGGCGTCGTTCCTACGCCCTGGGCTTCCTCCTCTGACCCCCAGTGACAACAGGCTGGTGGCCTTGGTCAGAGCTGAACCACAGATGGGTTTTATTTGGCTCATGTGCGTTTTTAAAAAATTTGAGTGAGTTTCCATCTTTTAACAGTCTGCATGTTTCACAGAAAGGTCTCTGTTTTTGTCTCCGTGAAGACCCAGGAGAACTAATGCTGGACCTGCCACTCTGCCAGGGCAGCCATCGGGGGAGCTGAGAAGAGACTGCACCTGTGCCCACACGTGGCAGGTCCCCTCTGCTTCCTCTTGATACCAGCCCCTGTCCTGTCGGGCCCTCATGGGCCTTGGGGCCTGAGGTTTCTCCTCAGAGGCCCAGCTGGCTTCTCTGGAGACCTCTGCACTTCTGGGGACCCCCTGTGAGCCCAGCAACTCTGTGCTGAGCGTTGAGAGAAATGAGTGGGACCAGGGGACAGCTGAAGTGAGTCTAAGAGAGGAGGCAGGCTGGGCACCTCACTTGAGCTCTCTTGGGCGTGGCCCTCAGTCGAGCCTGTATGTGTCACTAGGGATGGAGACTGAGGCCCAAGGTGCTACCCCAGATCTTCGGGTCGTCTTGCGTCTTAGGGGAGTGCTGGTGGGGATATCTTGGCGACAGGAGGGTTGAGAAGTGACTTTGGAAGGGAGGTTTAGGTTCCCAGCGCTCTGCTCTAAAATGACTGCTCCAGGTCGGTCGGAAAGGGAAGACGTGAACGGCAGCAGGTGGACGGCCACCACCTTTCACACCACGCCCCGCATGCCCACCTACGTGGTGGCCTTTGCTGTCTGCGACTTGGACTTCGTCAGCCGCACCGAGAGGGGGAAGCAGGTGAGGACGGGCTCTGGGGAGGGGAGCTGCGCTGGCCGTGGGTTGTTCGTGGTCTCTCTGCCCGCAGGACTCTCGCCTGGCTTCCCAGCATTCCCTCTCTCCCAAGGCCTTGGAAAGCTTGTAGGGCATCCTTGCTGCATGGGACACGAGGCTCTGTGGAGGGACTCCGGGAAGGCCACCCTTCCTGCCCACTTCTCCACGTGGCTTCTGAGCACCTGCCAGGCCTGGAAGGGACGAAGGCACATGAACTTCACAGCCGCGTCTCCAGAGTGGTCCTCGTCGGCCTGCTTCCTTGCTGGCCACCCAGCCTAAAATCCCATCACTGGCCTTACTTTTGACTTCCGCAGTGGGCATTTATGGGAGGAGCCTTGTCTATGAGAAGTTAATGTACAGATTTCATCGGGATGGTTTTTAAGCGCGCCTCGTCTCCACTGTGGGCAGAGAGGACTTCAGTTCTGCTTGCAGTGTGGCTTCTACGGAGCAGGCTACAACCTGGGGCGCAGGCAGGGCGTGGGGAGGAGTTTGGTGAAGGGGTGGGGCCAGGCGCTGGGCCCCTCCTGCCCAGGGTAATGAACCCCAGCAGCAGTGGGGGAGACCGAGAGCAATGGTGAGGTCCTGGCAGGAGCCTCAGAAACAGGTGGTTGCACTTTGTGCAGGGAGAGCATTCCTGAGCCCTCGTGTAATTCCAAATGCACGTAATTCGAGACAGATTTTCTGTGACTGGGTCCCTGGAGCGCAGGTCTGTCAGCACCGTGCTGCTTCTCCGTCCCTCGGCACTTCTCCAGCGGTTTGCCAAGGAGCTGTTACCCTGATAAATGTTGATTTATTTTCATCCATTTGAAAGGACTGACAGAGACAGAAAGAGGGCAGGAGGGACGGCCGGGAGGGAGAGCGTCTCCAAATGCTGGCTCACGACCCAGATGCCCATAACAGGAGCCTGGGACTCCATCCGGATCTCCCGCATGGATGTTAGGAACCCGAGTGCTTGGGCCATCATCTGCTGCCTCCCAGGCACAGTAGCCGGAAGTAGATTGGAAGCAGAGTGGCCAGCACTCAAGCCGGGCACTTGTATTTGGAATGCAGTTGTCCCAAGCGGCACTCTGCCCCACTGACCTTCAGTGCCCACCATGAAGAGCTCTTTCTTAAATGACCAGCACTCAGCTCGGGACACGGGTTTTCTCTCACCTCAGACTCTGATTTCAAGGTTTCTGAGCTTCATCCACGTTTTCAGCATTAACACTGGCCATTCTGTTAAAAATCGCTTAGTATGTTGTAGAATATAAAGTGCTTCCATAGCACAATAATAATGGATGTTAAACAACTGCCTGCTAATCACCAAAAACACACAGGCCACCTCCCAAGTGCCCAACAGCAGCATGGTTCCGCACAACTGACGGAGCGAGGCAGGGTTCCCCTCTCTGCTGAGTGGGAGGAGTTATTTGGCAACAGAATACACAGAGTATAATTTACTTGCTTCAATGGCTTTAGAAATGTAAGACTTCATTTTTAAGTGAGAATTAATCTTATTTTTTGGAAATACAGCAGGGCAATTGATGTTTTAATTATCAAACCATTTTAAATGTTCATGATTCACACTTGCTAAATATGTACCATATTGCTTTTTTTAAAAAACCAATTTTTATGTTTATTTGAGAGGCATAATTAGAGAGGGAGAGGGAGAGAGCGGTATCTTCCACCCTCTGGTTCACTTCCCAAATGGCCTCAACAGCTGGAGCTGAGACAGGCAGAAGCCAGGAGCTTGGAACACCAGCCTCTCCCATGTGGGTGGCAGGGACTCAGATGCTTGGGCCCGCTGCTTCTGCTTTCCCAGGAATCTTAGCAGAGCTGGATCAGAAACAGGCAGCTGGGACTGCAACCAGCCCTCTGATACAGGATGCCGACTTTGCCAGTAGTGGCTTTACTCGCTGTGCCACCGTGCCGGCCCCTGGATCATAGAAACATGTTCTGGAAAAGCAAGAGTCCAAAGCGCCCTCTCACACGGGCTCTGCGCTTTCTGTGGGGACAGGTGGTGGCGTGGACTGTTCCTGGGATGCCTTCCCAGAGACTGCAATCACAGCTTTTCCGGGGAAGTCACCCTTGGAACGTAGTGCGTGGTCTTCTTGGTTTTCTCAGCACACGTGTGCATTTCAGCATTTTATGAGGTAGCTGCTCTGACACGGCAGGAGCTGGAGCAGGCAGGCTGTCCGAGTCACCACTGCTTTTCCTAATTACTGCCTCTCGGTTTGGCTTCAGATCCGCATCTGGGCCCGGAAAGAAGCCATTGCAAACGGAGACGCGGACTTCGCCTTGAACATCACAGGGCCCATCTTCTCTTTCCTGGAGGATTTGTTTAACATCAGTTACCCCCTTCCAAAAACAGGTGAGGTCTTCCCTTGCAACGCAGCCGGCTCCCTGGGGCGGAGACCTTGGGCCGCACAGATGGGCCTTTCAGGCTGGTCGTTGGCTGCGTGATGGAATTGGACTCCTGACCTCTCCTAGTTGTGCCTCCCACCTTCCAAAACACGTGCAGGGGTACTTGAGAAGCTCATGGAAAATGGAATTAAAAGAAGCGCTTACATTGCTGAAAAAGAGTTTTTTAAATCATCTGGAGTTTTTTTAATAGCGTGCATTTCCCGCAAGCTTTCTGAAGTCCCCCGTGGAGGCCGGTCTGCTTTTTCGCTGTACAGGGCGGTGCACTGGCCCAGCGGGCACCCAGGAGCTCCCGGGCTGCACACACCTCCTGGGGCCTCAGATGCTGCCCCCCCCCCCCCCCCGAGCTCTGGCCTCTCTGCATCCTGTACGTGTGCCGTGCTCTGCTCCGTGTCCTCTTAGCTAACAGCTTGTGTGAGCTATTCCTGTGCCCATCAGTGAGTCTGGTGTGTTTTTTCTCTGTATTTCTTAGGATCCTTTAGTTATGAGTCATTTGATTAGGACTTGGTGGTCCCATCTGTGGGTTTTCCGTGTGTGGAATCGGGATCACGTGTGAATGTAACATGCTCGTCAAGGAGACGTGGAAATCCTTCGTCTCTCCTGTATCTGTGTTGTGTGAGCCACTCGCTGAGAAAGGTGTGCGCCGAGTGTCTCCGTGCTGAGTGTCCCGTCAGTGTCTGGTTCCTCTGGGCGTCCCCTGAGGCCCCGGAAGCAGAGGGCTCTGCCTGTGCTGGCAGATGGTGGAAGAGGGAAGCAGGATGTTGGGGAGGTCCAGCCTCTAGGGCACCAGGACACCAGGGGCTCTGCAGCGCCAGCTTTCCAGCAAGGGGTAGTAGGAACTGAGGGCTGGAGACCGTGAGACGGGAGGGGACCCTGTCGTCTGGGCATTGGAGACAGCAGGAGTCCAGGCGAGGAGACCAAACTCCTGTTGCCTCTGGGGACACACAGATGATCCTTGTTGAGGCCAGGAAAGTTTGACTGTTGTTGTTAGGGGAGCAGAGGTCCCCAGGAATCCTGATACCCTGGTCCCTTGGAGCACACCCGGCATCCAGCTTGTCACCGTGCTGTAGCCACCCCCACTGCTCACGTCCCTGCCCCTGGCTCCTCCTGTTGGCCGCACCAGCATCTGCACCACATTAGTCCTGCTCGCCCCCACCCAGTGCACTAGTGGGAAGTCAGCAGGATCTTCCCAGGGTGAAGCCTGGCCATGCTCCTGTTTTTAAAAGCTCTCTATAGCTCCCCATTGCTCTGGGAATCATGTCCCAGCTCATCCCACGTCTTAGCAGTGGTGCTTTGGCTGCCATGCTAAGTGACCGTTGTCCACTCCTCAGGGTGTGAAGTGAGTGCCCGCCTGCCACTGCCCTCTTGCCCCTTTGCTGTGCCTTCCTCTCTCCCAGGCTCTCACATGTGTGGTTTGCACATCCTGGAGTGCCCTCTGCCCGATGGGTCAGCTCAGTTTTCTCACGCCAGTGCCTCTTCCTCCAGGCAGCCTCGCCCCCACCCCTTTCCTCATGCATGCACAGCTTCCTGTGGGGCCTTCCACCGAGTCCCTGTGTCCTGTCTCCCCCACTGGCTTCCGTGGTCATTTGGGGAAGAATCTGGATCGTCTCTTGCCCTTCAGAGCCTGCAGGGGTTCTCTCGGGGGGTGAACAGTGAGCTGCTTTTGGTGGGGATAAAGGCATGTGATGAGTTGCAAGATGCCCAGAAATTCTGACTACACTGTAACTCCCGGTGTTGAGGCCGGATTTATCTTTGGCAGCAGCTCATCCAGGGCCACCCTCTGAGCTCTGCAGGTGGTGTTGAGCCAGAACTTCACCTTGATTCCTGGCAGGCAAAGGTGCCTATCCCTGGATCTTTAGGAGAAGGGAAACCAGTATGTCTTCATTACTCTAACTCCCTTGCTTGGGCCACCAGTGAAACAAAACAAAACAAAACAAAAACAACAGACACCTTCTCCACCAGCATTTCCCACACATGCAAGACCTCGCCAAAGGTCAGGTGGAAAGCTGTGAAGTTTATGTCTTCCTGTGAAATCAGAGACAGGGGTTGAGCCCAGCCTAATGCTCCTTTGAGAACTGCCTTCCAGGGGAGCACCCCCCATGATGTGGTGACCTCCTACTTCATCACACTGCTCATGGTTCCACCACTCCCTGTATCAGCACGTTGGGGACCAAGCCTTTAACACCTGGGGGTTGCAGACTATGCAGCATCCAAATTAACACCCCAAGCTCAGCAGGTTCCTTTCAGGTAACACTTGATATCAGGAAATCGTGGACATGGAAAAAAAAGTTTATTGCTTCCTAGTTGTTCTTTTAGCATATCTTTTTGTAACTGGGATCTAAGGTAATATAAAGCCTGTTCCTGTTATCTGTTCTGTTGAGCAGCTTTTTTTTTTTTTTTTTTTTTCTGGTGTTGCTGTCATTGTAACTCACGGTTTATAGTCAGAAGTGGACTGAAGTATCAAATGTCAGGACCATTAGAGTTAGATGCTTGAGTCATTGTGAATTTTGAAAGGAAGAATGAAATGATGCTTGTAGGAATAAATATATGTACTTGGGGCTGGTGCTGTGGCGTAGTGGGTAAAACTACCACCTGCACTGCTGGCTTCCGATATGGGCACTGGTTTGAGTCCTAGCTGCTCCACTACCCATCCAGCTCTCTGCTATGGCCTGGGAAAACAGAAGAAGATGGCCCAAGCCCTTGGACCCCTGCACTCTTGTGGGAGACCCGGAGGAAGCTCCTAGCTCCCGGCTCCTGGCTCCTGGCTTCGGATTGGCCCAGCTCTGGCCATTGAGGCTATTTGGGGAGTGGACCGGCGGATGGAGGAACTCTCTCCCCGCCCCCCCCCCCCCGATTCTGCCTCTCTGTGACTCTGCCTTTCAAGTAAGTAAATCATTAAGAAACTGTGTTTAAGATATGCAAGTTTTGAAATGGCAGTTTCCCCATCACCCTTTCGTGGGCTTTTAACTGTGATAACAGTGGACTCACTGTGTGTGTTATGCATCCCAGCATGCTAGGTGTTTTGGAACAGTAAAACTCAGGTACAAGATAAATCACAAAGCCACGAAGTAGCAACAGTAACTAGTGAGAATCCTCTGGACACGTGCTGGGTCTCAGTTCTTTTTCTAGTTGCTGTGGAACCGCAGAAAAAGCAGGGACTCTGTTCAAGGAGCCAAACTGGGGAGCTGGCATCTGTATGTTAGGCCCCATGGAAACTAATTACTTATTGATAAGGTACTGGCTAAATGTAAGTCGTAAAGAGGATGAAGAAATAGTAACTGGAGTATCCCAAGAATATAAGGAACAACTCTAAATAAATTAGAAAAATAAAACCCAACTGAAAAGAAGCAAATAGAAAGATAGATGGGTCGAGGTTTTCCACAAGTGGGAGCAGCTGTGGCTAATAACTATGCAGAGACACTTGGCCTCATCAGTCGTCTCAAAATGAACACCCAAGGGCCTAGGGAAGCGTCTTGGGCTGCTCAGGTCTTCCCCAGGTGTGGAGAAGCAAACACCGGAACAAATGCCAAGGTAGGAAGAACATGACATTGTTAATAGGAGCATCCATTGCTAGAGCCACTTTGGAACATTTGTTCAGCAGTGTTGACCTTTAGAGTACCTTAAACCCCAGTGGTACCATTCCCAGCCATACCTGAGGGATGGGGGCACATCTGTACCGTAAGGCAGCAACAGGGATCTCACAGCTGCACTTAGTGGAATCACCCCCACTGAACACCTCCACAGCGGCCATTCACAGCAGGATGGGTAAACAGATCCTGGTGCATTTACACAACAGGAAATAACCTAGCGAGGAAGGCGAAACAGTTTTTGTCTGAAGTTTAAAACATAATTTTCTTTGGGGCCGGTCCTGTGGCATAGCAGGTGAAGCCACTGCCTGCAGTGCTGGTATCCCCATGTGGGTGCTGGTTTAAGTCCCGGCTGCTCCACTTCTGATCCAGCTCTCTGCTTATGGCCTGGGAAAACAGCAGAAAATGGCCCAAGTCCTTGGATCCCTGCACCCATGCGGGAGACCCGGAGGAGGCTCCTGGCTCCTGGCTTCAGATCGGCCCAGCTCTGACTGTTGTAGCCATTTGGGGAGTGAGCCAGCAGATGAAAGTCCTCCTTCATTCATATTCTCTCTCTGTCCCCTCCCCCTGTAACTTTGCCTTTCAAATAATCTTTTTTTAAAAAACGTAATTTTCTTTAAAGTAAGGGAGTAATCAGTAGAAAATGTGACAGAACTCTATCTGCCTTTTTAAAAATTTTTTATTTTTTAATTTATTTTTTAAGGACTACCAATTTCGAAAGTACAGCTTTATAGTTATTCTTCCCACCAGACCCACCCTCCCACCCACACTCCTACCCCACTTCCTTCTCCCTCTCCCATTCTCTGTCCCATTCTCCATTAAGGTTCATTTTCTTTTTCTTTTCTTTTCTTTTTTTTTTTTTTTTTTTTTTGACAGGCAGAGTTAGACAGTGAGAGAAAGAGACAGAGAGAAAGGTCTTCCTTCCATTGGTTCACCCCCCAAATGGCCGCTTCGGCCGGCGCACTGTGCCGATCTGAAGTCAGGAGCCAGGTGCTTCCTCCTGGTCTCCCATGGGTGTAGGGCTCAAGGACCTGGGCCATCCTCCACTGCCTTCCCAGGTCAGAGCAGAGAGCTGGACTGGAAGAGGAGCAACTGGGAAGAACTGGTGCCCCAACCAAGACTAGAACCCAGAGTGCCAGCGCCGCAGGTGGAGGATTAGCCTAGTGAGCCGTGGCGCCGGCCCATTAAGATTCATTTTCAATTAACTTTGTACACCGAAGACCAAGTCTATACTAAGTAAAGATTTCAACAGTTTGCACACACATAACTGTTTGAGAACAAGTTTTACATTAACTCTGATAATATAACTCATTAAGGACAGAGGTCCTGCATGGGGAGTTTGTGCGCAGTGACTCCTGTTGTT